TCTTGAAAATATAAAAATAAAAATGTGAATTTTCATAAAGATTTCATCATGTCGATTTTTTTTTTTTTGCATTTCACCTACTAAATCGATAGAGATAATTACATTTGCAACATGAACTTAGGTATATTGACTAAATAGAAAACTGCACAGTAATAAAGATCATTTTTTTAAAGGCACCATATCGTTTTTTTTTCAATAAAATCGAAACAAAAATTAACGATAAATAACGATAATTGCCTTAAAAAGAAATTGCCTTAAAAAAAAGAAACATTCGCGGTGATTTTGTCTTGCATTCGTTTATACAATTATTATATACGAATGACCCGGGCAACGCCCGGGTTTTACCCGATTAAATGCTTTTATTCAAATTCTATTCGTTACAATTATGAATTGGCGCCGTGGATGTCATTCTTGTATAATATAAAATGAGTTTTAAAAATTGTAAAAAAAAAAAAAAAATGCATCGGCCGGGAATCGAACCCGGGCCGCCCGCGTGGCAGGCGAGCATTCTACCACTGAACCACCGATGGTTATGAAAATTCCCATCCGTGAGCTTCAGACAAACAAACAGACAGAATAAGGCAAATATATAAGTAGATACTACTGGGAAGATTTCTGGTTTGAATTTTATTTGAAATAAATATTCTTTGCAATTTAATTTTCAAATTTTCTACTTTCACTCGCAAGCAGCGCCTCTAGCGGCGTCTTGTGGTCTGCAGATGGACGTTTCTCAGTTTGCCAATCCTGGTGTGGCTTTGTTACTGACCAGAGGCCGCTACTTTGCGGCGACGGTCAATAGATGGCGTCTTGTTTTGACAGAAAAGACAAACTTTATTTTTTATAGAATCTATCGTGTCAACCAAGTCATGAGTTTTCCCAGCCGAAACAAAGTCTCTAATGAGAGATCACTTCAAGGATATACCGCCGTGTTTTCATGTAAGTCTATTACAGAAGATCCTATAATTAAAATACTTCTACTGACCTTATACTGCAATTAATAAAAAATAAAAGAAGAGGATATGGATCTCTGATGAATTCTCGCAGTCGTTTGGCCATTCCAAACTACAGAACACTCTGCTATTGTATTAGACCAGGCAAAGACTCGAATCCAAAACAACGCAACTTCGAAAAATCTAACGACGCACAGTGAAAATCAGTAAAAATTAAGCAGCGACGCAACTTCGAAAAAACGCAAAACGAAACGACGCAAAGCAAGGTATTGGTGTACATCTTATCACTGAAGGAGTGAGTGTAGAGTCACAGAAGCTCGGCGCCCAAACACTCAGTTGTCGGATCCCATGAACCCGATATTGATGGCAGCTTTGTAGAATTTGAAATATCTGAGACAAAGATCGGCTAACGATGTATTTATCCAGCTGTTGATAGTTGAGTTGTGGTGTACGCAAATCACCCAAGAGTTCTTGTCTGTGCTTCATCAAATGAGAACAACTAAATGTAATGTACGTGATATTTTGTCTTGTATTAAATTTGTACATAGATCACAGGGGCATCGGTCTTCTAGAGCTTTGAACCATTTTCTGGGAAGAATATTCAGAGAAATTGCTCTATAATATCTTTTACTTGTCAAACGATTTTTTTCTGAAACGTTAAGAAAATAAAACTATATCTAGTGTCTATTTTACAAAAATATTTTTACCTTAATTACCAAATTTAATATTTTTAAGTCTTTCTCAGGATAGGCCTTAAATAAAAATAGATTTTTGGTAGTCCCTGACCGTTCACGAAGACGGTCGTTCATGGGAGGTACGTTATAATAGGTTTATAATGGAAGTTTATTCTTGTTTTACAAGGGGGTCGCTTATGGGAGACTCTGCATTATTCTTCGTTTTTTAACTTGAGATATATTTATAACTCAATGTTACTGGAGCGCAGAACGCCAACTAGCTAATTGTTCTCTCTCACTTGAACAATATTTGGACTAGTTGTAAATTCACTATCCTTACAAATATTTAAATTGGAAAATTAAAAAAGATGATTATACTCATAATAAACATCAGAGAAAAAAACAGTCACATCAACAAAGAGTTAATTCTAACTCCCGACGTTTCAGGAGTTTATTCTAACTCCCGACGTTTCAGGATTTTATTCAAGAGTTTATTCTAACTCCCGACGTTTCAGGAGTTTATTCTAACTCCCGACGTTTCAGGAGTTTATTCTAACTCCCGACGTTTCAGGAGTTTATTCTAACTCCCGACGTTTCAGGAGTTTATTCAAGAGTTTATTCTAACTCCCGACGTTTCAAGAGTTTATTCTAACTCTAGACGTTTCAGGAGTTAATTCTAACTCCTGACGTTTCAGGAGTTTATTCAAGAGTTTATTCTAACTCCTGATGTTTCAGGAGTTTATTCTAACACCGACGTTTCAGGGATTTAAACTATTGGTTGATGAGGCTTGACAGATGATAGTTAAATTCTAATAACCTCTAAATTCATCTTAAGAATAAGAAGTTGAAAACTTTATATATATATATATATATATAAAAACAATAAAATTTTAATAAGTTTTTATTTAAATAAATGAATATATCTACATATATAACTTAAATATTTGTTTCTTAAAACAGTCAAAGTTTATTCTTCATAGCCAAAAATATCTTTGAGTTCATTCAAGTTCTTGGCCCGTTTGACAATGTTGGCGATGCCATGGAACAGCATATCCGCCAAAGCCGGGATCCCCAGTAATTCTGCTGCGTTGATCAAATCAGCAAGTGTGCCCATGTCCTGGGTCAAGAACTTTTCGTCCCATTCTGGGAATTTACGGGGCAGCGTGATTGGTCGGACCACTGGTTCTTCCACGAAAGGGGGGTCCTCCTTATGGTGGTCTACCCAGTCCAGTACAAGCGTCAAAGTTCTGGAATGGATCTTGGGAAGTGGAATTGGACTCTCTAGGACTCCTCCTTTCAGTTCTAATAAGGCCTTGATTGTTTCCATATGGTTGGCTAGCTCGAGTTCAGCTTCTACGGTCTCTTTGTCAGAGGTTTCAAACACGATTTTGTCTGCCATAGTAATCTTGACTTTATCAACTTGTAGTAATTAATATGTTAATTGATAAAACTAAATATTTAATTATTTATTTTTAAGACCACTTAATGCAAGAGCACAAGAGTAAAACGCAAAAAATTAATGAATATACATGAAAATGACAGATTTATCAATAAAATATATATTTTTCAAATTTATTTTTCAAAATATATATTATACAAAATTTTAAAAAATATATATTTTTAAATTTAAAAAGCGTCTAAGCGCCCATTTTGTTCATATCACCATTGAAGATATATTCAGCAGTTTTAATGCAACCAATGTCAGAATGTCTAAATATATTTGAACATCTCCATTGTCTCTCAGGACATCTGCAAAATAAATCGACAACAATGGCGTTCAAATGTTTTCAGTCCCACATTTAATATTTTCATGAATACACTCATGGACAAAACTTAAGGAGGTTGTACCTTTTATCATGTTAATCGGGATTCAGACAACAAATCTGAAAAATATTACAGTGACATGTATTGAAGACATACGAGAAAACCAAGTGTGAATAAAATTGCCTCTGTCTCCTAAAAAAAAAAAAACCAGATAGCCGATGACATAAAAATATGAAACTTCAATGAGTGTTGTCCATGAGTGTACAAACAAGGCCATAAATAGTGTTCATGTAGAAATGTGCTATGCCACCCAGCGTAGGCCACATTGAGAACGCTATATAGAATCTTACAACAATAATTCCCTTGAAGCCATGGCCACTTAAGATAGGGTTTGCCACATTTAGAACGCTGTTTAGATTCTTACAACAATAAATCCCTTGAAGCCATGGTCCCTTAAGATAGGGTTTGCCACATTGAGAACGCTGTATAGAATCTTACAACAATAAATCCCTTGATGCCATGGTCCCTTAAGATAGGGTTTGCCACATTGAGAACGCTGTATAGAATCTTACAACAATAAATCCCTTGAAGCCATGGTCCCTTAAGATAGGGTTTGCCACATTTAGAACGCTGTATAGCAGGCATGTCAAACTCGCGGCCCGCGGGCCTCATGCGGCCCACAACGAATAAATTTGCGGCCCACCAGACAATATATTTTAATATTTTTTTTATAAATTAAAAAAAATAATAATAAAAATTTGTAGCCTAATTTTTAAAAATTGTAATTATACATAATTTATTTATTAATAACGAACCACTGGTCGCCATACATAAGTCGTAAGTTTTGATAATATTATACCTACATACATAACGTATGTACATCGCCATAAGTATTGTGTGCCTTAAAGTTTAAAGAAAATATTCTTTCGGAGTACTAGAAAATTTTTTTTTTTAAGTTACGTTCAATAATTTGTGCAGTTATTCTGTGTCTGGTAAGTTAAAAAATATTAATTTTAAAAAAAAATTTTAAATATTAATTAAAACGTTTTATTATTTTGTGTTAGCGATTACTAATTTTTTTCAGACCTTTGTATTCAATATGTCTTCATCAAAACCAAGTGGCAGTAAAACTAAACGAAAAATTGCTGAAGAACATAGGAATTTTCAAGAAAAGTGGGAATTAGAATATTTTTGCTCTGAAGTAAAAGATAAAATCATCTGCTTGATATGTAATAACTAGCCGAATGACCCGGGCAACGCCCGGGGTTTACCCGATTAAAGGCTTTTATTAAAATACTATTCGTTAAAATTATATATTGGCGCCGTGGATGTCATTCTTGTATAATATATAAATGAGTTTTAAGAATTGTAAAAAAAATTGCATCGGCCGGGAATCGAACCCGGGGCGCCCGCCACTATAATATACTAGACGAATGGCCCGGGCAACGCCCGGGTTTTACCCGAGTGCGTATATATTTTAAAAATGTTTTAATTAAAATACTATTCGTTACAATTATAAATTGGCGCCGTGGATGTCTCTTTTGTGAAACGTCCCGCCCCAAACTGTGTGTGTCTTGAAAATATAAAAATAAAAATGTGAACGGAAAAATATGTCCAGGGTAGCCTAGTGGTCAGGGCATCTGCCCGGTAAGCGGAAGGTCGTGGGTTCGATTCCCATCCCTTGACACTTTTTTTATTTTATCCATTCTGACCAAAATCTATCCGTGAACTTCACACAGACAGAATAAGGCAATTATATAAGTAGATAATCCAAATTGTGCCTTATCACACACTATTTTTTTATTTGGACTTATTACTTTGTGTTTATAATCTATGACGTAATGCCGGCGGCGCGCGCCCGTTGGCTGCCGGCGAGCACGTGACCTCCCTGTGCGCGCGCATCCGTGACAGAGGCGGCCGATGAGGAATGAGGAAAGACGGTCGTGACTATATATATACTAGACGAATGGCCCGGGCAACGCCCGGGTTTTACCCGAGTGCGTATATATTTTAAAAACGTTTTAATTCAAATACTATTCGTTACAATTATTAATTGACCCCATGGATGTCACTCTTGTGAAACGTCCCGTTCCAAACTGTGTGTTTTTAAAATGTTTTAATTAAAATACTATTCGTTACAATTATAAATTGGCGCCGTGGATGTCTCTCTTGTGAAACGTCCCGCCCCAAACTGTGTGTGTCTTGAAAATATAAAAATAAAAATGTGAATTTTCATAAAGATTTCATCATGTTGATTTTTTTTTTTTGCATTTCACCTACTAAATCGATAGAGATAATTACATTTGCAACATGAACTTAGGTATATTGACTAAATAGAAAACTGCATAGTAATAAAGATCATTTTTTAAAGGCACCATATCGTTTTTTTTCAATAAAATCTACACAAAAATTAACGATAAATAACGATAATTGCCTTAAAAAGAAATTGCCTTAAAAAAAAAGAAACATTCGCGGTGATTTTGTCTTGCATTCATTTATACAATTATTATATACGAATGACCCGGGCAACGCCCGGGTTTTACCCGATTAAATGCTTTTATTCAAATACTATTCGTTACAATTATAAATTGGCGCCGTGGATGTCATTCTTGTATAATATATAAATGAGTTTTGAAAATTGTAAAAAAAAAAAAATGCATCGGCCGGGAATCGAACCCGGGCCGCCCGCGTGGCAGGCGAGCATTCTACCACTGAACCACCGATGGTTATGAAAAATCCCATCCGTGAGCTTCAGACAGACAAACAAACAGACAGAATAAGGCAAATATATAAGTAGATTTACTCTTTATTGTTGGCTTTTTATCTTACATTCATTCTTCATTGTTGGCTTTTTATCTTACATTTATTCTTCATTGTTGGCTTTTTATATTACATTCACTCTTCATTGTTGGCTTTTTATCTTACATTCAATCTTCATTGTTGGCTTTTTATATCATATTTACTCTTCATTGTTGGCTTTTTATCTTACATTCATTCTTCATTGTTGGCTTTTTATATTATACTAATGATGATGCGCGCGCATCCGTGACAGCGATGAGGAATTGAGGAATTGAGGAAAGACGGTCGTGACTATATATGTTGATAATCCAAATTGTAGCTTATCAATAGATTTGGTCTTATTACCTTCTGCTTCTAATCTATATTCCAAATTGTACCTTATCAGTAGATTTGGTCTTATTACCTTCTAATCTATAATCCAAATTATTTGGATAATGATAATGATCATAATGATGATGCGCGCGCATCCGTGACAGAACCGGCCGGCCGGCCTGCCCGCCCGCCCGAATGGCGGTCGTGACTATATATGTTGATAACTAGACGTTATGGGCCGGGCAACGCTCGGGTTTTACCCGAGTGCGTATATATTTTAAAAATGTTTTAATTAAAATACTATTCGTTACAATTATAAATTGGCGCCGTGGATGTCTCTCTTGTGAAACGTCCCGCCCCAAACTGTGTGTGTCCTGAAAAATAAAAATAAAAATGTGAACGGAAAAATATGTCCAGGGTAGCCTAGTGGTCATGGGATCTGCCCGGTAAGCGGAAGGTCGTGGGTTCGATTCCCATCCCTTGACACTTTTTTTATTTTTTCCATTCTGACCAAAATCTATCCGTGAACTTCACACAGAGAGAATAAGGCAATTATATAAGTAGATAATCAAAATTGTGCCTTATCACACACTATTTTTTATTTGGCCTTATTACCTTGTCTTTATAATCTATGACGTAATGCCAGCGGCGCGCGCCCGTTGGCTGCCGGCGAGCACGTGACCTCCCTGTGCGCGCGCATCCGTGACAGAACCGGCCGGCCCATGACGGTCGTGACTATATATATAATGGATGGATAATAATAATAATATAATAATAATAATAATAATGATAATAATAATAATAATAATTATTATTATTATCATTAGATAATGATAATGATCATAATGATGATGCGCGCGCATCCGTGACAGAACCGGCCGGCCGGCCGGCCAGCCCGCCCATGACGGTCGTGACTATATATAGGGATAATAATAATAATAATTATTATTATCATTAGATTATGATAATGATGATGCGCGCGCATCCGTGACTGAGGCCGATGAGGAAAGACGGTCGTGACTATATATATTAACTAGACGAATGGCCCGGGCAACGCCCGGGTTTTACCCGAGTGCGTATATATTTTAAAAATGTTTTAATTAAAATACTATTCGTTACAATTATAAATTGGCGCCGTGGATTTCTCTCTTGTGAAACGTCCCGCCCCAAACTGTGTGTGTCTTGAAAATATAAAAATAAAAATGTGAACGGAAAAATATGTCCAGGGTAGCCTAGTGGTCATGGCATCTGCCCGGTAAGCGGAAGGTCGTGGGTTCGATTCCCATCCCTTGACACTTTTTTATTTTATCCATTCTGACCAAAATCTATCCGTGAACTTCACACAGTGAACTTCACACAGAGAGAATAAGGCAATTATATAAGTAGATAATCCAAATTGTGCCTTATCACACACTATTTTTTTATTTGGCCGTATTACCTTGTGTTTATAATCTATGACGTAATGCCGGCGGCGCGCGCCCGTTGGCTGCCGGCGAGCACGTGACCTCCATGTGCGCGCGCACTGTGTGAAGTTCACGGATAGATTTTGGTCAGAATGGATAAAATAAAAAAAGTGTCAAGGGATGGGAATCGAACCCACGACTTTCCGCTTACCGGGCAGATGCCATGACCACTAGGCTACCCTGGACATATTTTTCCGTTCACATTTTTATTTTTATATTTTCAAGACACACACAGTTTGGGGCGGGACGTTTCACAAGAGAGACATCCACGGCGCCAATTTATAATTGTAACGAATAGTATTTTAATTAAAACATTTTAAAAATATATACGCACTCGAGTAAAACCCGGGCGTTGCCCGGGCCATTCGTCTAGTTAATATATATAGTCACAACCGTCTTTCCTCATCGGCCTCAGTCACGGATGCGCGCGCATCATCATTATGATCATTATCATAATCTAATGATAATAATAATAATAATAATTATTATTATATATATATAGTCACGACCGTCTTTCCTCATTCCTCATCGGCCGCCTCTGTCACGGATGCGCGCGCACAGGGAGGTCACGTGCTCGCCGGCAGCCAACGGGCGCGCGCCGCCGGCATTACGTCATAGATTATAAACACAAGGTAATAAGTCCAAATAAAAAAATAGTGTGTGATAAGGCACAATTTGGATTATCTACTTATATAATTGCCTTATTCTGTCTGTGTGAAGTTCACGGATAGATTTTGGTCAGAATGGATAAAATAAAAAAAGTGTCAAGGGATGGGAATCGAACCCACGACCTTCCGCTTACCGGGCAGATGCCCTGACCACTAGGCTACCCTGGACATATTTTTCCGTTCACATTTTTATTTTTATATTTTCAAGACACACACAGTTTGGGGCGGGACGTTTCACAAAAGAAACATCCACGGCGCCAATTTATAATTGTAACGAATAGTATTTTAATTAAAACATTTTTAAAATATATACGCACTCGGGTAAAACCCGGGCGTTGCCCGGGCCATTCGTCTAGTATATTATAGTGGCGGGCGCCCCGGGTTCGATTCCCGGCCGATGCAATTTTTTTTACAATTCTTAAAACTCATTTATATATTATACAAGAATGACATCCACGGCGCCAATATATAATTGTAACGAATAGTATTTTAATAAAAGCATTTAATCGGGTAAACCCCGGGCGTTGCCCGGGTCATTCGGCTAGTTATTACATATCAAGCAGATGATTTTATCTTTTACTTCAGAGCAAAAATATTCTAATTCCCACTTTTCTTGAAAATTCCTATGTTCGTCAGCAATTTTTCGTTTAGTTTTACTGCCACTTGGTTTTGATGAAGACATATTGAATACAAAGGTCTGAAAAAAATTAGTAATCGCTAACACAAAATAATAAAACGTTTTAATTAATATTTTAAAATTTTTTTAAAAATTAATATTTTTTAACTTACCAGACACAGAATAACTGCACAAATTATTGAACGTAACTTAAAAAAAAAAAATTTTCTAGTACTCCGAAAGAATATTTTCCTTAAACTTTAAGGCACACAATACTTATGGCGATGTACATACGTTATGTATGTAGGTATAATATTATCAAAACTTACGACTTATGTATGGCGACCAGTGGTTCGTTATTAATAAATAAATTATGTATAATTACAATTTTTAAAAATTAGGCTACAAATTTTTATTATTATTTTTTTTAATTTATAAAAAAAAAATATTAAAATATATTGTCTGGTGGGCCGCAAATTTATTCGTCGTGGGCCGCATGAGGCCCGCGGGCCGCGAGTTTGACATGCCTGCTATACAGCGTTCTAAATGTGGCAAACCCTATCTTAAGGGACCATGGCTTCAAGGGATTTATTGTTGTAAGATTCTATACAGCGTTCTCAATGTGGCAAACCCTATCTTAAGGGACCATGGCATCAAGGGATTTATTGTTGTAAGAATCTAAACAGCGTTCTAAATGTGGCAAACCCTATCTTAAGTGGCCATGGCTTCAAGGGAATTATTGTTGTAAGATTCTATATAGCGTTCTCAATGTGGCAAACGCTGGGTGGCATAGCACATTTCTACATGAACACTATTTATGGCCTTGTTT